AATGAACGAAGCTTTCAATTGCATAGCGCATGCTTTCAGTTTTCTGCACAGTATTTAGTCTGCTCTGTTTGTGGTTGATTGTTGATCTCTGTTCATGCCTTATAGATTTCGGTTTTGAGTGGCGGTGTACATCTATATCACATTTCGGAATGGCGGTGAGTTGGCGTCTGGAACGGCTCTTGTTTTCTGCTTCTTTTCATTACCTGAAAGTTGTGAACGATCTGTTATGGTGCTTGTTGTGTAGATAGAAAGGATTCTTAAAGATGATGCTAGTGAAGAGAAAGGAGAGCGTGCCAGAATGGTGAGTTTTCCTCTGGACTTGGTTGAATTGAAGTGGTTGTAGAGCTTAATCTTGTCGTACGGAAGTTATTTAACACTAAGTTTACTTTCCTAGGCATCTTTTGTTGGCGCCATGGCCATTGCTGATCTGGTCAAGACAACTCTGGGTCCTAAGGGGATGGTAAGCTTTATTTTCTATAGAGTGTGCTTGTACTGGTTTGTCTATGGTATTAACTAACAACTTGCACTTTTCGGTTGTTTCCGTTCCCAGGATAAAATACTGCAGTCTACTGGAAGAGGTCAGACAGTGACTGTGACTAATGATGGGGCTACCATCTTGAAGTCACTACACATTGACAACCCAGCTGCTAAAGTCCTTGTTGGTATCCTTACTTTTGTTGTTACATATACCTACTATTGTCGATCATGTTTTGTTTGGGTTCTCATCATTCCTATAAGATTGTAATTCCATGGGAGTTGGTATGATGAGATTCAGTTGCAGTTACTAAATTGTTTGTCACACCGCTGTTGTGGTAGAAATATTGGAGCATGGTGCAAAAATATACATCTTGATGCTGATCCTTAACCCTAAATTAGATATTTCGAAAGTTCAAGATGATGAAGTTGGGGATGGGACGACTTCAGTAGTTGTCTTAGCTGGTGAACTATTGAGGGAGGCCGAGAAACTTGTTGCATCGAAGATCCACCCAATGACCATCATAGCAGGTTTGCTCCGGGCATTTCAACTTTGTATTCAGGTTCTCTCCTTGCATCATTTGAGTATTGGAAACCTTGGTTACTACCATTCTTAGAAGAACATTTAGCTCAACTTTACTCTCCGTGGTGTCTACCAAGCTGCTGTTGGCCATTGTGGTTTGGATGTTTGCCCACAACCCCTTGGTCACTGGTTCAAGCTTGGAACTCTCTCACTCTCTCGTGGTGTCTGGATTATGTGACTGTTTCTCTAAATATTGTTATAAATAATCTGTGGTTCTCAACATCAAACTGCTGTCAGACACTGCATGGTTTAATACTTCGTGTGGTTGGCAGCCTCTTTGCTGCAATCCAATTTTTTTTGTAATATTTGGGTCATCTTACTCTTGTCACTGTGTGGAATCATGTCCATGTTTCTGTACATATCTGCATCTAAATTGGTGGTCATTGATTCCAAATCACTACCATACTTGTGTATATTGTGATGATGGCTAATAACCAGAAACTTACATTTTTTAATTTCAGGGTTTCGGATGGCAGCTGAATGTGCTCGAGAGGCTCTTCTTAAAAAGGTTGTGGATAATAAAGCTAATGAAGGTACTTCTTATGCACTGATAACTTGTGGTCCAGTGCGTTAACTTCCAACTGTTTTTTGTTTATGCTGGTCGTTTGCTGGGACTTGGGATTTTGTTGTAAAGGTAATTGACATGCTTTAAAGTCGTTGTGATTACATATTTGTCTTACTATTTTAAATTATCAAATTGCAGAGAAGTTCAAGACAGATTTGATGAAGATTGCAAAGACAACTTTGAGTTCCAAAATATTATCACAGGATAAGGAACACTTCGCCAAGCTGGCTGTTGACGCTGTTTTGAGGCTAAAGGTGAATGGTTTTTTAAGTTTGCTTGGTTATGAATTTATCTTTTTCATGTCATGAGTGTGTCCCTGCCATTGTTCCATTTAAGTTTTGGAGTTGATTGTGAACTAAGAATCTCAAATCTTCTTCATGCATAGATTATATCCTCTTGGGACTGTCTCTGAATGTGCTAGTGACAGGTGGCTGAGTTCCGCATGTAGGTTCTCATGTGTGGACTGTTGTAGTAGATAGAATAAGCTGCAGTTTGAGTGCAAGGGGCTGTGTCTAATGACCTTTTGATTTTATGTTTCACATTGTTGAAGGTTTGGATTATTTGTGCTAACGCTCTGTTGATCTTGCCTCCTATTTCTAATGTGTTGTTTCCTTATACTTCTTGGTTACAGGGCAGCACAAACTTAGAATCCATCCAAATCATCAAGAAGCCTGGTGGTTCACTTAAGGATTCATTCTTGGATGAAGGGTGGGTATATGTGAACGTATTCACCTTTGCGGCTTTTAATATCATGCAAAGTCTTCCTTGTTTTCCCAACAGTCCTCACTAAATCAATGTCTCTCTGTTCAGGTTTATTCTTGACAAGAAAATCGGAATTGGACAACCAAAACGGATTGAAAATGCTAACATTTTGGTGGCTAACACTGCAATGGACACGGATAAAGTAAAGATCTACGGCGCACGTGTTCGTGTTGATTCAATGGCTAAAGTTGCTGATATTGAAGCAGCTGAGAAGCAGAAGATGAGAGAAAAGGTGGACAAGATCCTAGCCCATGGGATTAATTGCTTTGTTAACAGACAGTTGATTTACAATTTCCCAGAAGAACTCTTTGCAAATGCTGGAGTACTTGCAATTGAGCATGCAGATTTCGATGGGATTGAACGGCTAGCTTTAGTTACCGGAGGTGAAATTGCCTCAACTTTTGACAATCCTGAATCTGTTAAGCTTGGACACTGCAAGCTTATCGAGGAAATTATGATTGGAGAGGACAAGCTAATTAAATTCTCTGGTGTTGAGATGGGCCAGGCATGTACTGTCGTACTACGGGGTGCAAGGTAATCCTTTAGTATTCGTTGCATCTAGTATTTGTAGTTTGTTCAGGATTGTTGGTGATTTTTGCTCTTTCTTATCAGTCTTGCCTAACTTTGTTTCTGAATTCATTATTAATTTTGCTTTCATGCACATGTAATGCCTAGTGGGAGAAATTTATATCAGGTGTATTTGCTTTCTTCTCTCTTTACTACGATATCACATCATGTCAATTATTGTTGATGTAGAGACATGCATACTGGTTTCATGGTCCGATTTTCAATTCATCTCACCTTGAAATATGTTACTTTTACCTTGTGCAGTCATCATGTGCTCGATGAGGCAGAAAGGTCCCTACACGATGCCCTCTGTGTTTTATCCCAGACAGTGAACGATAGCCGGGTTTTGTTTGGAGGCGGATGGCCAGAAATGGTGATGGCTAAGGCAGTAGATGAACTTGCTCGAACGACCCCGGGGAAGAGGTCTCATGCCATTGAAGCTTTCTCCAGGGCTCTTGTGGCCATTCCAACCACCATCGCAGATAATGCTGGTTTAGACAGTGCTGAGCTAGTAGCCCGGCTTAGAGCAGAGCACAACAAGGAGGATTCTAATGCTGGCATCGACGTCATCTCTGGATCTGTAAGTATTTTGGTCAATTGTTGGAACTTCTCTCCGTTTCTTGGCTAGTACATGAGATGAATTGTGAGAAACCTCAGAGTCCTGTTGCCATTATGCCTTACTCAGTCTATTAGCTAGTTAGCTTCCCCAACTCCTACATGTTTGAGGTTTACCGATAGTGAACGAGCTTAATTTTATTAAGTTTCACTATTTGACCTGGCCCCATCATTTATGTCGTGCAGGTTGGAAACATGTCAGAGCTAGGGATTTCAGAGGCGTTCAAGGTTAAGCAAGCGGTGCTGCTTTCTGCAACCGAGGCTGCCGAGATGATCCTCAGGGTAGACGAGATCATCACTTGTGCGCCACGAAGAAGAGAGGATCGAATGTAAAACGTGGATTGGATCTGCTGTTTTCTCTCTTAGGGGACTTACATTTTGGCCAATCAATCTTATGAACTGTATTGTTGTTTAACTTAGATTGTGAAACTGATAACTTTGCCAAACCTGCCCCAGTTTTTCGTGTGATGCCGGTTTCTGTAGAGTTGTGGAACTCCAGTGTTTTGTATTGATCGAATTCTAAAACTGTGCATTGTTATTTGAAAACAGTATCGTGTTTAGATGGTTTTGGACTTCTGAAGTTGCTGTGATGCAGGATGAGATCTTTTGTTATTGAAAATTCTGCTCTTGATTGAACCTGGCTCCCTGTTAACTACGCATTTTTAAAAGCGTAGTTCCCCTGTATCTTAGGGAGTCTATCAGCATTGAAATACCTGCTACTGTATGTTTGCTTTTTCGCTACGCTCATTGCTGTCGAAATCCACTTCTGTCGAAATCCACTTCGACTAGGTCTCCATATTCTTTAAGATTCTTATAGATCACAAGAGTTGCTAGACCTTGTACTGTGGAAACCAATGGTTTAGAGACTGCTATCTGGTTGGACTGGAAATATCGCATACTGAATTCAAATCTATATGTGAATTTATTTTTAGCAGTACAAAACAATTGGATCACGATTTAGTACAAATATACCATCATTGAGATGTCCGGTATAACCTCCAGTACTGAGATGTCCGGTATAACCTACAGTAAGGTTTTCCAATCCTTGATGGTAACTCTGTAATCAAATTAGTTTCACATCCTAATTCTGCTTTGATTCTTCATTCTACAAAAAAAGCTACTTTGGTTCTTCATCCTACAAAAAAGCTACTTATAAGAGGTAAGGAATAAACTCATTCTTGTTTAGAAAAAATGTCATTCCGTTATTGGTTCTTCGTTCGAAAAAACTACTTCTAAGAGGAGAGAAATAAATTCATTTTTGGTTAGAAAAATCTCATTCCTTAACAACTTATGAGACTTGTAGTAACATAACGTCTGAATTCGGCATGAGAGTCTTATGATCTACCTCCGATTGTTTATTTTATAAGACAGAAATTAGCAGGATCCCGTTAGACTCACTCATATGATCTAATTAGGTTAATTCCAAGTATATGTGCCTGATCTCTGTCATCATAAAAACAGCAGCGAGTTCCCATTTCTTGATAAGTGTGGAATTGGACCTGTCCAGAAATGTGGATACGCCCCATTTCGATGCCTGAGAATTTGGATTATATACTGCCTTCATGGAGGGGAAAAATAAGGAAAATAATCTTATCTCTCGCTTCTCTAATTTGTTTCATTTTACCTGTTTCTGATTTAATTCTTGGGATTCGAGATCGAGACGCCTGCTTCCGTCACCGTTGCAGACTTGCAGTCATCAGTGAGACTTTACAAGAGCAAATTGACGCTCTTTCTCGCTCGCTCCCTCTCCCTCTCTCTCTCTCTCTCTCTCAGCTTAGAGAAAGTCAGCAAACGCAGCCAGCTCTCCAATGGCGGACGGTTCAGGGTTCAGTCATCAACTCGTTGCTTCTCACAGATTCCCCGAGGTACTAATCACAAACTTAAAAAATCATTTCTCGTGCGGTTCCGCTTCCGAATAAGGAGTTTGGCTAAGATCCGATAGCTTTCTGTTTGTTTGCCCTGTCATTTCTCGTCGGGATTGTTGGCGGTGACCAGACGACGTTCGATTACACGGAGAGGTAGAGCTCTCTCGGTCCCTCGCCGTAGTTCCGTTTTTCTTGTACCTTCTTCCATTGAATTTTGGAGTTGTCTGAATGTCTTTCTGCTTGATAGAGACGTAGCTGTTTATGCTCTGGGAATCGGAGCTTGTGGCCGAGATGCCGTCGATGAAGACGAGCTCAAATATGTTTACCACGAGAACGGCCAGAAATCTATCCAGGTACGTTGTTCGGATGATTCTCGAAGTTCGCTGGTGAATTGTTCTTGACACTTGCCAAATGTTTTCAGAACTAAGGATTGCTATAGATGTGGTGAATCATTTGTTCTCGTGGAGTTAGATTGTTGATTAGTTTTCGGAAGTGTATCAGAGATTAGCGGATTGGTGTAGCTATGTGGTTGAAGTTTTGTTCATGTCTTCTGCAACTTTATATTGTTCTTGATACTTGCAAAATGTTTTCAGAACCTAGGATTGCTATAGATGTGGTGTCATTTGTTCTCGTGGTGTTAGATTGTTGATTAGTTTTCGGACACGTATCAGAGATCAGGGGATTGTTGTAGCTATGTGGTTGAAGATTTGTTCATATCTTTTGCAACTTTATATTTACTATCTCATCCGCAATTTGCTCAGGTCCTTCCAACATTTTCTGCTTTGTTTTCGGTGGGAATAATGATGAAAGGGTTGGACATACCTGGTTTAGAGTGAGTATCTGAAACTAACCTTATTCCTACGGCGAATCAGTAGCTGACTATCACAGTCTGTTTCTTTTGGTAGTTATGATCCTAGGCTTCTGTTGCATGGGCAGCAGTATATTGAACTTTACCAGCCATTCCCTTCAAGTGCATCGGTAAGTTCTTCGAACTGGAGCGACCATTTAGTCGAAAGGTTCCAATTCCAGCGGTGACATAAGTTGTTTGTGTTTTGTGACTATTTGTTCGCTGATTGCTGATGCAGCTGGTGAACAAATCAAGTCTTGCTGGATTGCATGACAAAGGTTTGTAATAGCAAACTGGTGTAAGTTTACAGAACTATCTGCCGTTTTTAGGGTTGTAACTAGTGTAATTTGCTCCTTGTTAATACTGGCAGGCAAAGCTGCTATTGCTGAAATTGAGACCAAGACTTATGAGAAGGGATCTGGCAAACTACTATGCATGGGCAGGTGAAGTCTGATTAAGACGCATCATGTGTTTGAGGCTCCAGTCCTTTAGCTGAGCTCTGATGTAATGTTTTTTCGCTTTTCCAGATCAACGGCTTTTCTCAGGGGAGCTGGTGGCTTCTCAAAGTCATCTCAGCCGTATTCATACTCCACTTATCCAAAAGACCAAATTGGTGCTATTGAAATCCCCAAATCTCTACCCTCAGCTGTGTTTCAAGATCTTACTCAACCTTCTCAGGCATGTTAACTTTTGTGATGCTTTTTTTTTTTTTTGCTTCGTAGAGTTATTCACCTGATCTATGTGTCCTACAAATCCTTCTTCCTTGTTATGCTACTAGGGCACTAGCATTGTAAGGTTTAATTAAGCCTGAACTTGCTGCTAATTCTGTATTTCCATTAGTGGTTTGATAACTGTAAGACCTAAAAAGTCTCCCTCTCCTAGGAACGAGCGATTGCTTGATCAGTGTGCCTTGCAGTAGTTCTGGATTCCATAACTATTTGTTTTCCCACCTCCATTTTGCAGGCATTGCTGTATCGGCTGTCCGGTGATTATAATCCACTGCATTCCGATCCTAACATTGCTACAGTTGCAGGGTTTGTAATCTCTCCCATCCTTCTCTATTTAAGCACTCTAAAACATCACATCTGATCATGTTACATGACACATCACAGATTCTCGCGTCCGATATTGCACGGACTGTGCACTCTTGGATTTGCAGTCCGAGCAGTCATCAAATCCATCTGCAGAGGAGACGCGAATGCAGTGAAGAACATTCTAGGCCGATTCCTCTTACATGTTTACCCTGGCGAGACTTTGATCACCGAAATGTGGCTTCAAGGCTCGAGGTAATAATGCTATCATACTGAAATGAACTCTGAATAATGACCGGACATTCATGTTTCTGTCTAATTGAGCTCAAACTGGTTTTTTATTCAATTGTCTGCAGGGTCTTCTACCAAACAAAAGTGAAAGAAAGAAACCGGGCTGTGCTGGCTGGCTATGTCGATCTTCGTCATATACCTTCTGCTTTGTAAATCCAGGGGGATCAAAATGTCTGAAAAACAACTGTTGTAGTCCAATAAATGTATGCATGTGTGTTGTGTGTTGTTATAGCCTTTTAGTTTGGCACATTTGTAATTGTGGAGCTCGTTTGGTCATCTTTTGTAGTCCAATAATGTATGCATATGAGTTACTATAAGTGATTTGATAAATAACTAATAACCAAGGGTGGCTTGGATATGAGATTGTTGAAATACCTCGATTAAGAGGTAGATTTGAATATTTTTTTTTCTTTGTATGATAAGTGATTCCTAGATTTTGATTGTTATATATTGTGAGTGCTCATTAGAGGTGGATTCAAATACAATATTGAATATTGTGATGCATCATGCATATGAAAGCTTCAAAGCTTCCATAGTCAATTGCTCGCCCTAACTATCTAATAACTCTATAACTAGTATTTTTGCAATTATATTATGTTGGTACAACTCTGTGGTAAATTATTTATCGTTGTAAATTATTTTATCGTTTTGTTAATACTTAATACACAAAAAAATATTATGTTGGTTGATACTTGATTACATAAGTTTAGTTCATTCCTGAATCCTGGCTGGTTGCCTTTCCCCCTTTCCCGAGTGAGTATATTTGGGAATGGACGGCTAACTTTTTCCTCGAATGCAAAACGGCATGCCGTTTGTTGAAGATAGCTGCCCTAACATATAAAAGTCCCACAAATGGGCGCTCTACTGTAATTCTGCCCATCGGCACTTCTTCTCACGCTTTCAACTCTCGGACTCGCAAGTCTCACTAGAAGCAGAACTGTATCCCGTCAACTGCCGCTCCGCCTCCGCCCCGCGCCGAGATTTCTAATAATGCCAGGCGAAACTGAAGCTGTGTCACTTTCCGGAACTCCTACCACGGCGGAGCTGGCGGCGGTTAGTAACGAGGAGGAGACGCGGATCCTCAGCGACGCCATTCGTTCTTTGCCTCCTCAAGCCGTCAAGGACTTGTTGAACTCTGAGGTTTGTTTCCACTCTTTCCGAGATTTCAACCTGCTCGATTGAGTGGTTTCTTTGTTCGCCCGCCATGGCTAGTTAGAGTCCAGGTCGCGTTGTGTTGTTCTGGCAATAGTTTGCATTATTGCATACTAGGTGTTTGATATGTTGACAGAGTATAGAATTTGCGACTGAAGGTTCGTTGTTTCCCCCCTCCGGTATCTTGTTTTTTCCTTCTTCTGGTTGCTGAGTTCGTCCCTGCTTGATTCCTTTGGCGATCATGGACACAAACTGCCAAAGCCGAGAAGCCTAGGGAAATTTCTTATGATTGCCGTGCTTTTTTATCGTCAATTTTGCAACATCGATTAGTGTCGAGTGCTATTTATACAGTGAATCCGTCCTCGTTTCATATAATGTTCATAAGCTCTCTTTCTTATTTGCTTCTCCTTTTTCGTTCCAGGTTTGTATCGGATGCATACTCAGGCTGTTTGGATTCAGAGAACATTTTCACTTCCGTTCTTCTATCTCGAGTTCTATGTTGCATTCTGTTCTTGGAGAGTCGGAACATCTGGAACATTACGGGATACTTGCTGGCTCCAAATCAGGGGAGGAATTAGAAGTTCAGCAGATTGTGTGCAGGATGTGTTTAGGCATTTTGCAGTACTTATATCGCAATGATAAGGGCATATTGGTGCAAAAGCTAAGTGCAGACGGCTTAGCTGCTTCCGTTGATGAAATGATAAAGCAAGATGGCCATGAGATCGACGGCTTCTCCCTTGAACTGTCCGTACCACCTGTCCTCTTGGAACATGACAATGCAGTATGGTAAGAGCCGTTTTGTTTTACTCAGTGACTCCAAAATTTCGAGATTGTTGTATTGAATTCAAACTACTATGTTTTTGTAGTCTGCTGTATTTCTAGATTATTGAATAACTAGCTAGGTCTTTCTAGAGTAGGCATTGCTATGTGTATAATAGTAAGCAATAACGATCCATTATCAAGTTGAAGTTGTTTAAGTCGGTTATATTTTGTATTGCTCTGTGTTGTCGTGATTTTGTGTGTTACTTTCTGGTTCCATGTACTGTAGGTCGTATATGAAGAAGAGATACGGACAGGAAGTTGGGATTGCAGAAGAGACCTCAAAATGTGTTTCTGTGAAGGATGCCTTAAAATTGGCAATAACATATCCCATTGAAAATATGTTGGTAAGTACAACTTCATTATACTGAATTTAGAGCGAAAATTGCGCCTCAGTGCAAAATTGTGATAAGCGTTGATACTCCCGTTAATTCTTTATCTAATTGAAACTTTGCAGGATGTTAAATCCAGCTCCATTCCAAGCTCATTCCGCATTCGGCTGACCTATAGTCAAACGAAGCCATCATCCTCCATGGCTAAATCTCCAGGAGAAACGAATGGATCTTGCAAGAGAAGAAAAACAGGTATGTTAACTTGTGCATTTGTGTATGACATCGAGTTCATCTTGCTAGGCAACTAACACCAATCACTTCAGGTCATAGTTCAGCATATTTGTCAACTAATAAATTTAAGTCGGCTTATAGTCTTTACGGGTGCACGTAGTAGTATCCCTGTCCATATGAATGATGTTCGTATGAGTTTTTCAGTGCTAGTAAGCTGTTCTTTCTGCTTTTGTTTCTTTGCAGCTGATGTGAATGGAGTACCTGTGAGGTCTTCTAACTTCTCTGGTGATCAGAAGTCCTCAGAGCCTTGCAACTTCCCTTTAGAGAAGGTAGTTCCCTACTCTTTCTGAAAGAACTAGATTTCTGTTTTTAGTGACAAGTGCTGATGTCAATGAATTCTATATTTTGCATGGAGGTTGCCTGTTCATGTTGTCTTTTATATGACTCTCTTACTGAATTTTTCGATCATACCTTTAAAGGTCAATGAACCCTACTACCTGGCTCTTGTTTGCTGCCGAACACCTATCTACATTGGTGGGAGATACCTCAAGGTGCGTATAGTAGTAGTAGCTTAAGTTACATGACGATATTGAAATTGGATTACTGCTGTCTGCTAGAATGAAGGATTGCTTCCTTTCATGCAGTTCTCAAGAAATGTTAGTCAAACTCGCTGGATTATTGACGATGAAAGAAAAGGAGAATCATCTGTCGAGGTACTTGTACCCAGGATTGCTACAGAAAATGTCTTTACTACAATGATGACATAGATCAACACTTACAAGATTTTATTATGTAGGAAATAATAGGAAGCAGCATTCTTCCAGCTTGTCAAGGTGACAGTTACAAGTTTCATGCTGCTGGCAGAGAGGATATTGATGTACTAGAGATCTCTCTTTAACTATCTCTATGTCTCTCGTCTCCTTTTCTTGTTCCAGTTTCGCCTGAACCTATATATTTATTTCTTCTTTCCAGGTGCGGATGTTGGGTTCAGGCAGACCTTTCATGGTTGAAGTACAAAATGCGCGGAGAGTTCCCTCAGAGGCTATTATCAAAGAAACAGAAACAAAAATAAACAGCTTGGAGGAAAAATTGGTAAGTTCTCATATTATCGTTTTCTTACCTCATTTGCTTCGGCGTCAAATGTGAAACCGTCTCGTGCGTGTGTAGGTTGCTGTGAAAAATCTTAAACTGGAAGTCAATAATGGTTGGGGCTTAATGCACGAAGGAGAATCCGAAAAACAGGTATTGTTTTCTTTGGCTTACTCTTTACTTTTTCCTCTATTGTGACCTGTGAGACCTTACTCTCTTATTCGTTTCATCCAGAAACAATACTGCTCTTTAGTGTGGATTTCACGCACACTTGAGGATGAAGACGTGCAGACCATAACTGCATCGAAGGATATGGTGATTTTTACACCGTCCCTTTTCACTTTAACGAACACCTTGGTCATGTTTTCTTGACTGGTGATTTGTTGTTCATGCAGAAAGTTTTGCAAAGGACACCAATAAGGGTTCTCCATCGGCGAAGTCCTTTAGAACGGGAAAAGATCATACACTGGTTGTTAAACTTTTAAGTTATTAATTAGCTCTAAGCTTCTGGCTCCACCATCTGTTCTCATCTTGTTATGCTAATGAGTTAACGAGCCTTTCCCCTTCTCTTAATGTTGCAGGATGAAAGTCGAGAGGGTTGCTGGGAGCTCTCAATATTTCCTGTTGCATTTGTGCACTCAGGTACCCTTTAATTCCCCCCCTTTGGCAACTCATACCTTGATGCTTGTTCTTTTTCGAACTAATATGAAAAATGGAGCATCCGACTATGTAAGTCATTAAATTAGTGATATACATGCTGCATTGCTACACCCATCTTTCTGCCTAAAAGAAGTAAAGCAGAAGCATTGTTTCCATACTGCATCTCTAGTTTTCTACAAGAGAATAATTGCATCACTTAACTGCTCGAATTGTTTCCACTTTGATCATTGAAGCATCTATCAGAGGCTGTGTCGTCATGAAAATGTCTATGTGATTAAGGTTAACCGGAATATACTTGATGAACAGGCTGGGACGTACATTAAAGAATTTGTTCACGGAGATTTTGGTCGCACCAATCCAAGGTAAGAAACAAAATGAACATGCTCCTCTCATGTCAGACTTCCCATTTCTCGCAGTATACGTTCTATGCAAATGCAAATGCAAATGCGAACTTCTATATCTGCCTTCCCAATTGATGCTGGCTTCTGCTAATCTGGAAGTCCCTCTTGTATTTTGTGACAGCATTGGGTCGATTTTAGGATGCAGAGCCGAAATACTGCAATTGGATGTTACAGACGTGAAGATGGACGGTTTCTGATTTCCGTTGTGGCCATTGACTCAGAAGCGGTATTTTCAACTCAATTTTAGAGCCTAATTTTTGGTTCCCGGTTCTTCTTGAGGCTGCATCTTTCAGATGCAACCACACAACTATTCAAGCTTTCTGTATAAAGCTTGCATTGAAATTTGAAAGTATACTTTTCACCTTAGTTACTTGTATGATTTATTGTCAGCTCGTAATAGTTTTCTATTAGTTAGGATAGGAATCTAGTATGGTTACGATAACCTCGATATTCTAGTGCTAGAGTACTCTCAACTTCAGTGAGGAAATTTTCACATTGACGATTGCTTTGAGAACTATTGTTGCCGCTACGCCTACGCTCTTGATATTCTTGGGAACAATTTTTTTCTTCTTCTGTTGGTCACCTTATCCCATCCAAGTCATGAAGCTAACATTGTTTCCTCCATACATCGTGTTCGTATGGAGAATTCTAACAAATCAATTTGATCTATTTATCAACATAAATTTGAATAAATCAATTTGATCTGGAGAATTTTAAAACAATTCATTTTGAGACGATTCTGATTGTTTGGAAGCTTTATAATTTGAATTTGCCGACTACAAGTACCTTATATTGTAAAATAAGACAATTGATCAACTCATTTCGTTTCTCATTTGTAATTTGTTCCATCCAATCAGGTCTAATAAATATCTAACCGGACTAATTATGAACTATTCATTCTAAGGGATAAGATTTCTAGTAATCATCCATTGTATACAATCACGTGTAACAAGTTGCGCTTCACCTAATATAATAATGATAATAATGTAACAAGTTGTACAATCATTTCGTTGTTGGCGCCCACCACGGCCATAAATGTTCTAAAACCAGAGCATTTACCATATCTTACAAGGAGAGCCTAAAAAAGAAGCTACCGTTCCGATGGTATCATCCAAACGGTTCCATCAACGGAATCAACACCAAGTGGAAAACTCTGATCGAGATGCCGCTCTCCTTCGTGTTTCTAATTCTACTCAGTCCACGTTGCATTCACCACCTTCGACATGAACCCGTACCGATCCGCCGATTCATCAATCTGCCACCAAAGACAACAATGAATGAATCAAGCGTCGGTGTCGATCGATCAGCAAGAAGAAATCTGAATCAAAACTTGTTCATACCATTTTCTGAGTCGGACGGCCGGCGCCATGGCCGGACTTCCGGTCGATCCGGCCGATGATCGGGTTGGTCTGCGGACTGTTGTCCAAGCTGGTGCACAGAACATGCTGCAACGTCTGCAAAGAAGAAAGGGTACCAGAAACCGGTGATCGAGAGTACAGGGAATCTTTCCGATATGAGGATTGATGGTGGGATCGTCAACTCACCGCCAACAGCTTGAGAGAGTGTAACGGAACGACCCGATCGTCGTGATCGGCGGTCAGCAACATGGTCGGAGGGTACTGAACGTCGGGGCTCACTTCCCATGGTCTCCTCACATTGTGCAGTGGAGAGTACCTGAAAAAATGTTGCAGAGCAACACAGCCATGGAAATATCGAATCTAAGTTTTGATCCAGCGTCCAGGTATGAAGCTCGTATTAGGATTTTGTTCGTTTGTTTTAGTAGGGTGCTGGCATAGTCCGAGACGGTCTGGAACCAAACCAAATCGGTGTATAATCATATCGAACATAAAGAAACAGTGTTTACTATTAGCGGATCAAATGCACTTACTTGATCAGCCAATGGAACTCTTCCTCTTTGTCCGAACAGCCATAGTCAGTAGTCCAAGCATGCCCTGTAGGAAAAAAAGAAGTGTTCCAGACTTCCAGTCACATAAATGAAGATAGTGGTCTCTACTTGGTAAGATGAGATAAAGCTCCTTACCAATTGTGAACTTGTGAAATCGCAGCATGTCCATGACGCCAACATGAGCCAGCGCACAACCAAACAAATCCGGTCTCTGATAACCGGAAAAGAAGTCTCAAATCGCCTCGTGCTTGAATTTATATACTTGAGGACGGATCAGAGTAACTAATTCTTACCTGATTCATGCAGGCTCCGACGAGGAGGCCACCGTTGCTCCCGCCTTCAATGCATAGCTTCTTGGGCTGGGTATAGCCTTCTGACACAAGGTACTCACCGGCAGAGATGAAGTCATCGAAGACGTTCTGCTTACTGCCTAGTGACCCTGCTTTGTGCCATTCCTCGCCATACTCTCCACCGCCGCGGATGTTGGCGATGCAGAAGACGACGCCCAAATGTTTGGCGAGTGTTACCCGGGTCACGCTGAATGACGGAGTGATGCTGATGTTGAATCCACCGTATCCGTATAGCAAGCATGGGTTTGATCCGTCCAGTTTTATGTCCTTCTTCGACCCAATGAAGATTGGGAACTTGTTGCCATCTTTGCTAGTAACGAAAACCTGAAGCCAAAATGAGTAGGGAGCAGGTAATCAACACGCTGTATATCTCAATTTTGCAGCACCATACATCTCAATTTTGTAGCCTTCGAATTCCGTGGCAGCTATTGTTTAATGCGTGCAGAAATCTAATCCAGCCAAGCTGAAAGAATAAGAGAAAAAGAACTCACTTGCTTCACTTGGAACTCTGAGCGATCAAATCCAGGTACATTGGTCTCCCGAAATACCTTCATTTCCGGATCCCCAGATCCGAAATCACATTGGTATATAATCCCGGGGGAAAGAAAGCTCGTAAATCCTATAAATGCTACACTGTCCTGTCTCCTTGCAGATACCCGAGTCACGGTACCTATATCAATAGGCAGTTGATGCAGGAAGGAACCCGTCTTTAGGTCCCTGATCTCCAACACATTCTTGACATCACTCAGGTAACTAAGTATCAATTTGTCCCCGTTGACCACATCTGCTGACTCTAATACATCCTTCTCGGATTCCGGGACAACGTCTGTCCATGAACTCGGGTCATTCAAGTCCACTCGGACTAGCTTATACCTAGGAGCATCCTTATTTGTCAAGAATGTGAATGTGGTGCCATCATTTGCTACCGGTTCATACTGAGCATCGAAGTTATCCACAAGCTTAGTGAAAGGGAGAAGTTTGTTTGATCCCTTAAAACCTTCTAGTCCTCCAGGAAGTGTAGAGATATCACAGTAGTATATTTTGTTGACTGGATCACACCCCTCGCTGATATGTAGAAGAACATGCTGCGTGAACATTATACCAACTAAGTCATCAGTAATTCCAACTGCAATAAAACAGTGTTGTGACGGGCTAAATACCAATTTGGTTACCAAACTCGTCTGTGTGATTTGGGTCATGTCAGTTAAAAACTGGTTTGGACACCATGTGTATCAAAATAAGCATTGAACTTGGTATTGAGATAACTAAGACATCAAATTTGCCCAAATAAATTGCCAAAAGCATTTTTCGTTGCATTAGTTGGTCTCTGTCATCATGTTGCTGATGTGACAGCTTTCAATTCTAATGAAGGTTAAACTGAAAAATGAAAATGCTAATGGTAATTTATTAGGTTGAGGTTGGTGTTCAAGTTATCTCAATGCTGAATTGCATTTCCAATGTTATAAACATAGACGAGTTTGTTGACCAAATTGGTGTTTGAACCTGGACATATCCTCCTGTCCAAAGCACACAGCAAAAGAAAATATACCTTTCCATCGTCTGCCACTGATGCACCGAAGAAGTGCTTGGGGTTTTCTTGATCTTTCCAACACAGAATGTCCTCGGATTGATCCGTACCCAAGAAATGGTAATATGATTCCTGATATAGATTGATATTGGTCTCTGTCCCAGCATCTAACTTCTCCCCATCTCTGCACAAGAAACTTGGAGCATCAGCTCATAACCCTAATCCGAGCAACATCCTTCATTTAATAATTTTCCCTTCTGAAAATGAACATTATCCTTTTTCCTCGTCATCCAATCCAGACGTTTTGAGTCTAGATTTTAAACTAGAACCCAGTTAGAATGAATGTGCTTTTCAATATGCTAGCATACGATGAAACTCCAGGTTAGATATCCATCCTTCAATCCTTCTCAATACACTGGCACTATGAAACACTCCCTGGTTAGAATTTCTATTTCCCTGAATCAGCTAAACTATTCAAATATCATACAACACTAGAACCCTTCTACAAACCAAGAGGAATACAAGAGACGTGAGAGTTTACTTGGGAGCAGGGTAACGGCTATAGAAGAACCCTTTGCTATCATGTGTCCAACTGATCCCCGTAAACTTTGCCTGAAAAGCACAATAAGTATTCAGAGCTCATAGAACCACTGAGAACAGACAATTAAAAGATAGTAGCCACAGATATTGAAAGCTGTAATCTCACCCATGATATTGTGTCTTCCTCAACTCTCTTGTCCTCAACTCGCATGACCTTGATTGTTATCCAGTCGCTCCCGCTCGAGCTAACCCCGTAGGCCAAGTACTTGCCATCCTCGCTCACCGAAAGCTTGCCTAGCGCCACAGTCCCATCCTCGCTCAGCGTATTCGGATCAAGCAACACCTCTGGCTCCCCTTCCAAGCCATCCTGTTCCGATCATTTGAAACCAAAGCTTAGATATCCCATGCTCATTCTCCCTATCCATATTACAGTTCCGATCATTTCCCCTCTCTCTCTCAAATAGTCACCTGAACGTAGAGAACGCTCTGGGCCTGGAGCCCGGTGTTGTGGAAGTAGAAGTACTTGTCCCCACGCTTGGACGGCGCTTCGTAGCGGGGATGGTCGAACAGCTTGGTAATCTTCTCCTTGAGCTTCTCCCTCGCATCGCAGGTCTTCAGCACGGAATCCGTCAGCTTCACCTGCTCTTCCACGAACGCCTTGGTCTCCTCCGAATCAGGATCCTCCAGCCTACCACCACAAAAAACCACACAAATAAGTTTTTGTTTCCCTTCTCAGCCGCATTTCCTCAAACAGGTAGAATGCAGCACAAAAAAAAAAACCTCGATTCGTTACCATCGGTAAGGATCGGAGACCTTGACGCCGTGGTAATCCTCGACGACGGTCTCGTCCCTGCGCGCGGGCGGATACGGCAATAGTCCGCCGGCGGGAGCGGAGAGGGAGCCCATTGTTGATGGCGGTGAGGTTAGGAGGGGAGAAGCGGAGAGAGAGGAGAAAGGACGAGGAGGAGAAGGTTTTTGGTGGTTGTTGGTTGGTGGGATTGGGAAGGAGGGAGAGTTTGAATATAAGGAGACTTGTTGGGCGGAGAGACGGAGACGGCGAGCGAGGCGTAGTGGCGGTGAAAACGAAAGAGGATTGGCGGAGGAGGGAAGGAGGATAATAAAAGGTGTGCAGCAGCGATGGTATAAGGATGAGAACATTGTGACGTGAGGAGATTTTTGGCAAGCCGAAGAGGAAAACTAATGGACAACGGTCTCGTCATTTCTTTGCTTGTTTGGACTTGTTTCCATTTGGTAACTCAGTGACAAATTGCCCTACAGAAAAGATTGTTAGTTACTTTACCTCATTTGGTTAGTTATTAGGGTTTTTACTTTTTTCGACAACATATTTGTGATAACGATAACAGATGTTATGGCGGAACGAGACCAAACCCGCAACAGACAGACGCTTCCGGGAAAATTACATAGGACTTTGAGGGGCATCAGACTTAGGTTGGGATGACAATGGGTCGGGTTGGGACGAGTTATATGTCAAACCCAAATCCAAACTCAAACTCATGAGTTTATTTACAAAAAATATTCGAGTTGAAACCCACTGGATTTGGAAAACTCATATCCAACCCGCTGGGCGCTGGGTATCCGCGAGTTCATGGGTACCCATAGATTCATGTACATACACACTAACTCACAAATCATTCATACAATTGTTCAATATTAAAGATAAACATCCACAAACAATATGATTAATTAAAGTTTTGAGGAATTAGTTTAGAAATTATAGTTAATTAGTTAAGGGTTTCGTGGGTTGTGGGAGTATGGGCTTGGGTGCAAGTATCCACGGGTTGGATATGGCTAAACTCAAACTCAACCCAACCCAGTATAATGAGTTAAACCCAAATCCGACCCGCAATCCGTTAAAGAGGGTTTTACCCGCATTGACCAAGTTTGGTCGGATAGGCTACCCGCGAATTCGAGTTCTACTGTCATCCCGCACGACCTACCCCACGACGACACTGCTAAATTGTCTTACCATTAAGAGGTATAAGTATCTTGGCTGGGGTTTGACGTTGCATCCCGTTGTGATGTTGACCAATAATTAGGGTGTTGATGATTGTAATATTTGATGCACCTCTAAAAGTTGTAATGAAAACATTTGTTGTAATTGCAAGCAGTGAAAAACAGAAATTGCGTACTTTATAAGTTATATTTTCGTGTTTGTTTGATTCGTCGGCTGACATCGTAAAACTTCCTTCCGTATAGACAGATCATGCGTGCTGGTGGTTGCACTTGCACCTACAAAGATTGCATGAAGTGTTACGACCAACATCTCCAACAATGAAATTTAATTGCAATTTCATTAATGGTCCCTACTTCCACATCTACAACTTTAAGATAATACCACCTCTCAATTTCATCCTACCTACATCAATAAAATTCATTGCAATTTCAATGAGTGAGACCAACACATTGATTCAATACAACTAAACCATCTATCACTATTTTCTTAATTTGTAAAACCCTTAAAATATATGTTAAAGAATACAAAAGGACCCATCCGTAGGCCCATTTCAATTGCAAGCAAATTTGCACACCAAGCAAATTTGCACACTTGCAATGACAACCCACATCAATACAATTCAAAGTTGCAATTGCAACCCCTTGTCACTATAATTGCAAGTCACTATAAATGCATCTGGTCAGTATATCTTTTCCTACATGGATTGCGACTGTCAAACCAATTCTTGAGCGTGTTTTATGATTCATTTGAACTTTTTATTTAAATGTTAAAGATGTTTTCTATCTAATGACTTTTAGTCATCCCTTATAAGCATGTTCACTGCTCATCTTATTTTGAATCAATAAGTCTATGAAATGCCATTCAATTTGGGAAGGATAGTGCAGTGACTATGATGGATGCGATAGTTGAGATGAATTGAAATTATATTAGGATTTAAGAACATATTAACCCTCTATTTAATTCAGACCCTAGAATTAATTTTTTAATCTGACAGTCATTAACTTAATTAGTATGATGCTAACCCCTTAAGAGGTTAGCAACTTAACTCATTCTGACACGAAGTCCATACCAGTTATTAATTCCTGGGAAGTGGGGGATTCGACTATTTGAAAAGAGGCTCTCATTTTCCAATTTTATCATTATATTATGTCTAGATTTGTCACACACAAAAAAAACGATTATGCTCATCACAAAGGTCCATGTTTTGGTTACACTTCTGTATTTTTTCTGAACTAAACAACACATACAATTTAATATTAATGTTTGAATCAATACTACTTGAGTTCCGATTTCAGAACTAATATCTTCTATAAAATATAAATAACTTAAGATAAAATATAAATATAGAAGCATCATCACCAAACATATTGCTAGAGTTCAATAAAAAAAATAACAATGAATAAAATGTAGCATAGTTGTTATAATGCTATTTCTTCATTCAAGTGGCCAAGATTCGAACTTCAATGATAACATTTTTAATATATAAACATGAGCTGAGTGCAATGACAAAAATGACCTTCCTAGAATCACTCTCAGGTCACGAAATTTGAAATGGGAAAATTCCAACTCATGTTTTGCCTTTATGTATTGTGTCGACTACTACAACGATCATCGTTGTCACTGAAAATCGAACTCAGGACCTTGTCCAAAAAGCTCTACCCGCTAGGCTCTCCTTGTTTGGCAAAACATCACCCTTTTGCTAGGATTTTTCGTCCTTTATCATTTTCCGACTTCTATGGTTGCCGTCACTTTACACTTGGAATAACAGCCAACACTAATACGTCTTGCCCGAGATAAAGAATGGTATCCTCTCCTTCAATCAATTCCTCCACATTGCCCGTTTACTAGACTTTTTGTAGCCCAATGTGGACCTTTGGCGTGGGATAATTTGGCCTTCCAAGTAGCAGCCCTTGTTTGAATCGTTGATGCCGATGTTGGAGGAGATAGTAACAAAGTTTACGGATCCTCCTCGGACCTCGAGTTACACGGTTGTGTTGGCGATTCGAGGGTATAATTTTCATATTTTTTTAACTTTTTTTTTTGTGGCCGTAAATTTTTTTAACTTCTTTATCACAATTCTGTGCTAAAGAATGAATAATCTCTTATATTTACAATCTTAAAGGGCGAGTTCGATAAAAAAAAATCTAAATCAATAAAGAACCGTCTACAAAGAGCTTAGTTAATAAAATTAAAATGTTCATAAATAAACAAAAGGTATAAAAGTATGAAATAATACCTGAAATAAGGTAAGTGGGATTTACAATTCCATGTATATTACCTTAGCAAACATAAATAATAATAACAATTAGAATACTATAACGAATTATAAAACAACCAAACAAAATACACCGTCCAACGGGTGGGTATAAAACTAGTTTTCATATACTTCAAAATCAAATATGGTTTTTTCTAGACCCTTTAAGTTCATTGCTACCAAAATGATAATGTAGGACATATTATATCGATCGGAAAAATCGGTGTGTGATTTGAATTATTATCAATAATCATTTATAAGAAAACAAATCTTGCTTTTGTTTTGTCGAATTCCAATGGGTTGCCACAACGATAATATAGAAACAAAAATATTCATCACACACTTTGTGATCCCATTTTATTTGGATATAGTCACATATGTGAAAACTAAAATCACGATTTTTCTAGGTAAAATTATGATGGGTTGTATCTAGCACAATGACGCCTCGCATTTTGTGGTATAGTTTCATTATCGAATATGAAAAAGAAATATGGATTCCGTCTTGTCAAATCTCAATATATAATGTCCATCACACTCCATGGTTCAATTTTACCATCACCGCCCACCTAGATGAAAAACAAAAATTGATTTTAGCTATGTTGACTAGTCATTGATGATGTCCAATTCTAGAAGATAACTCTTCTACATATTCTCATGTTTAAAATCAAACCAAACACAATTTTATCAAATTTAAATCATCACTTTATACTTTTAGTTCGACCCTTACACAAACTAATTGATTCGAACATCAACTCATCTAAACGCGATGCTCACACCTACTATCACATGAAGGTAATGCTACTTAGGTATTGCAATTGGCAGGCTCGGTTGAGTTTTTCCGAGTCCAAACCCAACCCCAACCTAGCAAATGCACCAACTAAAATAATTATTAATTTATTCCTGTACTTTTAAAAGAGAAAATCCAATACATATTGCATGAGTAACCATGAGTTCATGTATATATGTAACTGTAAATAATTCACTCGAATACTCTCATCGTTATATTATCAAAATTTCTCTACAATTATATTGTCATTGAAAAATAATGTCTATAAGCATCCATTTATTAGGACTACATTTTTTTAAAACTAATAACATCAACAAATTATCCATGCTATTAGGGTTACATACAAAATGATACCATTTTACTTTTTTGTGAGGAGCGTCTGGAAAGTGGGTTGGATTTTGATAAAATCCATTCCCGGTCGAACACTCATTATTTAAAAACTTATACAACCTGCATCTGATCTAAAAACCGTCAATATTGAATTCTACTCGATTTGACAGGGTGAAACCGAATTAGGAAATCAACAAGTCTGGTTTAATTGACATCCTAATGCCACAACTGCCCTGTTGTCCCCCTCAATTCTCAACAAGGTGGCAGGGACGGCCCTGAGGGTGTGCTGGCACTAGGGGTGGCTATATGGTCCGGTCCGGTTAAATTGGCTCGAATTGATTCAGTTCTAGTCCGGTCTTTTCGAGAATAAAAGGACCAAAGATTGGATTGGATACAGTCCGGTTTTGATCCAGTTCGGTCCCAATTCAGGCTTGATTTAGATTTAGATTGAACTTGTGGAAATTTGAGTGGCTTGAGACCTCAAAAGCAGAGGAGTTGGTTAAGTTTTGGGTGTTGGGCTCTCTTATCTGTTCTTTATCCGATTTTTTATCTGGTCTCATACGGTATTTTACCTCAAATCTAAGCCCAAAGATGGGATTGGATTGTTTGCTATCCGGTTGCGGTCCGGGTTATACGATCCAGTTTCGGATAAACTCAAAAAGCCCGGACCAAATAGCCAGCCCTAGCTGACACGCCCTCCGACATAGGACCTCCAAATTTTGGGGGCCTCTGGACCTCCACCTTGTATATGACTAATTACTATTACGGACTATTGGGTTTCGACTATGAATCTAAAATGCTACAAATTTTATGAACTGGATTTTGATTATGAATCTAAAACAATAATATTAAAAAATTAAGTATGAATTCTAAAGGAACGAATGAATCACATAAGCGGTATACTTGCTATCTTATTATAATTTTTTCAAACCATATAACATAACTTATTTTTTGTCGTGTGTTTCCTAA